CGGGGCAGGCAGGAGCAGGGACGGGGACGGGGACGGGGACGGAGCAGGCTGCAGAGGATGCTCGGAAAGGACCCAGGTCCGGAGCAGCATCCCATTGAGGGGTGCCGTGGCGGCTGGGGGAGGGCAGAGGAGGTGGGATGCTGCCTCTGCTGCCAGAGTTTCTTCGGGGTTTACCCGGGCTTCTCTCCACAGGGAGCAGCAGGCAGAGCTGGCTGGGCTCCCCACATCTCCGGATGAAGGTAAGGGCAGCCCAGCGTGGGGATGGGGGGAAAGGGGTGGTTTTTGCACCCTCCCTCCCTGAGCAGCATTTGCACGGGTCCAGCAAGAGGGTGTCCCCTGGCCTGGCAGCACCTGCCTGCAAGCCCACACCCCTTCTAGCCCTGGGACCCCAACCCCGTCCCCTGGATCTGCCTTGGCAGCTGTAACCCACCCGCTGCACCAGCTCCCTGGCCTTTCTTCCCCTGCCCTGGCCCAGCCTAGTTGCAGCTCCCTTAACCCCGCAGGGGTATTTTGGGGGACACCTGCCAGCCCGTGCCCCCTGGGAGTCTGCAGGCTGCAGAAATGCCAGCGGTGTTTTCAGGGGTCTCCCTTGAAGTGGTGTGTGTCAGGTTGGGGAGGGGATGCTGCTGCCCAGCTCCCACCACCCTTTCTGTCCCCAGGGAGGATGACCAGTCCCCAGGGGCACCCAGATGGGGTTTTGGTCAGGAGCGAGCAGAGCGTGGAGTGCATCGGCGAGGTGAGAGAGAGGGGAGGGCAACAGGTTGGAGGGGGCTTGGGCTTGGCCGGACCCCCAGCCTCTTGGTGCTGCTCTTTTCGGGATGCCATCCAGCACCAGGGAGGGGTTTGCTCCGACAGCACCCTTGTGTCCCCCAGGTGCCAGGCAGGGACAGGCAGGAGCTGGCTGTGCGCACTGGGGCCAGTGGCAGGACTGAGGAAGGTGGGTGAGTCCCCATCCCACATCCCAGCTGGGTCGCCTTAGGGGAAGGCTTGAAGTAGCTGGGGCCTGGTGGGGGTCATCTCCCTTGGTGGGGACATGGGGAAGGGGGGACTGGCCTGGGGGGACCTGAAGCCCCGCTGATGCTGGGGGAAGGATTGGGACAGTCCCACACCACAGGCACCTGCTCCCTGCTGGGACAGGAGGGCAGAGGAAGGAGGAAAGGCCGAGGAAAAGCCTTCACGTGTGGTCTCTCTCGTGGCGCTACTGCCTCCCTGCAGATGCAGAAACGCTGGAGGAGCCGCTGCTGAGTTTCCCCAGCGAGCTCTTGGTGCTGGAGAGACTAGGCTTGCACAGGTAAGACCAGTGAGCACCTGCATCCCTCCAGGGTCTATGGGACAGGGGGGTCCCAGGGCACCGTGTCGTCCAGGGATTGGACTTTCCTCCTTTTCCAGTGCACAAGAGCTGCTCTCCAGGCGAGGCGCACTTGGGTCCCCACTTCTGGTGGTGCCTGGCACCCCTGGCACCCCTGGGAGCAGACCAAGGGCATTTGCAGCGTGCAGTCCCTGTGGTGCCTCCATCTCTGACAGCACTTCTCTTTCTGCAGGGTGGCTTTGACAGAGCAGGACGTGGAGGTGAGGGCTACTGGGGGCTGTGGGTGGGCTGAGGAAGGGGGCCAGAGGGACTGACACCTTGCTGGCTCACAGTCCCAGGGCTGTGCCCTGCTCCTGGCCGCCCTCCAGGCACCGCAGTCCCCTGGCAGCCACCTTACAAATCCCTTTCGGGGTGATGCCGTTGGCATTCGGAGGTAGCTGCATTTCCACAGCAAGATGAGCCCGTCCTCTGCACGCCCGGCAATCCCACAAAGTGCTCTGCAGCTCACCAAGAGCGCCCTTAGCCGGGGAGGTGGTGGAAGCCGTGCTAATAAAAATAATTTTCCTGCGAGTGCCAGGGCTGAGTCAGGCTCTGCTGTCAGCCGGGACCTGCAGCAAGGGCTGGCATCTGCCCGGCACGTGCTCTTGCCAGGAGGGCTTGGGATTTCCATGCATTATCAGCTGCCTGAGGGAACGTGTCTCAGTCAGGCTGGCATCTCATGGGGACTGTCCCCAGCGTGCAGCAGCCTAACGGGTGCTGGCACAAGGCAAGTGCTAATTATCCTTAGCACTGTCCTGCTTGGTGGCATGCTAGGGAGGTCTGTCTGTGCCTTGGGGACAGCAGCGCATGGTCCTGGTGGCTTCCCCTTTGCCCTGTGTCCCACCTCTTGCCCTCCCACCCCGCAGGCAGCCTTTGCCCATCTCGCCCTGGCTTTTCGCTGTGACACATTCACCCTGCAGCAACGGGTGCAGGTGGAGAAACGGGCACGGGACGCGGCGGAGGAAAACATCCAGGAGGAGCTGGGGCAGTGCCGGGCTGCCCTGGAGGTAGGTGGCCACGAGGGCAGGGGGCT